TGCTGGACAGATTATTGTGTTGATTTGATTTTAGTGATTAATTGATTGTGGATTTGATAGTCAAATATCACATCGATAAAAAAGTCATTGATTGTTTATTCAATAAAAAAGTAGCCATTGTTTACATTGGTCAAATATATTGGTTCTTGAGTCAAACAATCAAATATCAATTATGATTAACAGGAAATTAGATTCTTCTTAAGCAAACTCGATCACTTTTTTTACCGATTATATTAACTTGATGTTAATGTAAACAGAACCAATTTAATCACAATTTACACCATCAAATTAATTGTATGTTGTATTTGTCAAGTTAATTTACAATCAAGAGATGAACAACTTTCACTCCAATTACAAATTTTAATGATGCCCATTAACCATTGACCATACTCATTATTTTAATCACTTTCATTAAACAGTAACAATTAATTATCTTTCATGGACTAAAATCAAGGGTTTTCCTCTTGTTCAAAGCATAAATTTAAATTTCAACTGATTAAAAGCTCAAGTATCAAACTAATTGTCCAATTAGTTGAACAAAATGGTCAACATATTTGAAAATTTAATCAACTTCTAATGTTACCAGAAAATAACATGAAAGATTATGTTTGTTTGTTTATTTGGATGAGAATTGAAAAGATTGACCATTAAAGAGGATTAGCCAACATGATTGGAGTTTAAAGTTACAATTTAATAATAAAATCTCAAGTAGATTAACATTTAAAAAGTTGATGTTATCAAGTCAACTAAATACAAGATCAATTTCCAATGACAATCTACTTGAAATGATGATCGTTGATCTTTGAACAAAAAGCACAATTTAAATTGGGTTAAAATTTTCATCTTTTTACCATTAAAATGGTAACATTTTATTTATTCAATTGATTCCAATCCAATTGGATCAATGGATAACCTTTGATACAGAAGATTAAACAAAATTTAATCTTCATCATGTGTCATCATCAAAATCACTAAACATCACTGTCAACAATACAATTAATATTCCAATAACAATTGACAATTTTTAAAGTCAATCAATAGATAATCAAATGATGATCGAGTTGGAACTTGAAATTCAACCGAGTTTCCATCGGTCAAAGGTAAAAGTAAAGTGTATTCAGAGGAGTATTTAGGTCAGTGGAATGACCTTGCTTTCTTCAATCAACTTAATTCGAGCCCAGAATTAACGTCGATTCAGTTGAAACATTTTCCGTCTCCCGGTTTATTATTAATAATAAACAAAATGCTGAGTAAATAAAACTCTCTAAATATGAAGACAAGTTGATAAAAAATACTTGTAATTAAAAAACTGACTCAATCTATTGAATAATACATGATGCTAATCAGTCAAGGCGAAAGTGTGTATTTGACTGGTTAATTTAATCACAATAAACATGAAATATAAACATTATTGAAATAAGATATATTAATACATTTTTTTTGTTGTTCTATTAAAAGAGTTGCAGAAAAAGCTATTGGATTAAAGTCACACGTTGGTTGTTATAAGAATAATAAAAGAGTAATATGAAAAAAAGGTTTCATTTTAACCCAAAGGGTTTTATGTTTCCTTATCTTCATTACTTATCACTCCCATCACCTCATCTCCATCCTCATCTCCATCCTCATCCTCATCCTCTTGCTCTTCTCTCTCTCCCAGTACACCCTTCTAACCACCACCACTCTCACTCGTAAACATGAAAACATCAATTAAAACTCAATATTGATTAACCCTAACAAGGGTTTACATTGTAATCCAATCAAGATCAATTACTGTTACTATTTTTTTCACTTCTGATATAAAAATCAACTAATTAGATTAGTGTTTTTTTTAATGAGATTTCTTAACTATCATTATTTACAAAGATATTATCTTATTTCCTTGTAGGTTGAGGCTTTAACCATGTACATGTGTATGATTTAATTGATGGTTATTGTTGATTACATTCAAGTCAATGTTGATTATTGATTCAATCAATCAGATGAAGTTTGTTAAAATTATTCAATTGAATCCTTTTATCACTCTCTCTCTCTCTCTCTCTCTCTCTCTCTTAAGTCCCAATGCGAATTAACTTCAACCACAATTAATCATAATTTTCGTGGCAATTTGACAATAGTTGATTATGTGGAAGATTGAAAGGATTGTGTCTGTTATGATTGTAAGATAATTGAACTTGATCATGTTGACAGTGTTAATTAGCATAAATTGATTAATTGTGATAAATCGTCTTGATTGTGAGCCAAATATTTACACATTGTATTTATTTTCTGGAAGTTGATGTTACGATTCATATGTATTGCTTTTTATTCAAATTATTTGGATTTATTGAAATTATTCAAATTCATCTGCACCATGAATCTCACGAGGATTCATTTTGCTTTATCAATTTTTCTTCTACTTAATTCTTGATGATTTAATCAACAACATAGACACCAAAATGTCATTCAGATCATACAAGATCTTATTTCAAATGTTGAGTAACTAATAAACAGCAAAATGTGAACTTCGCTTCACCTTAAAGTTGAATAGGTTCAATGTGATTCCAATTAGCTTAATTAAATACTTAAAATAGACGATAAATATCAATAGTTGATATAGATTTTCATATTTTGCATCATTTTTTTGTGCTCACTGGGAGTTAAAATTGAGGAGTTTTATTGTGGGAGGTTATCATCTAAAAGAGACTTTGTTTTTTATTTTATCAAAAGTACGCAAGTCATAAAATAAAAAAATCAACTCTGTTTCGTAAAGGCTGGAGAGGTGAGAGTTATGTGGTGGGAGAATAGAGGGAGGTTAAGGAGAGGAGAGAGAGAGAGAGGAAGAGAGAGTAATACTGAAGTGATAATGCGAGTAAAGATGAGGAAAGATGGAGATGAGAGTGGGAATGAGAGTGGAAAAGATTTGATATAAAAGATTCACTAGTTGCTTTGATCTTCACTTTGATTCTAGTCATTGAAAGAGTAACAACAACAATTCATTTTTGTGACTTTCTAACAATAAACTTCGTACATTGAAAATGCCGATACAAATTGATAATCGAGATCTTTATTTTCCAAGATTAGCTTCATCATCTTCTTCATCTTCATCTTCTTCCTTTTCCGTTAATCCAAATGACTCAGTTTCTCCATCAACAAGATCACAATCAACAACTTCCACTGTTTCATATCCATCTTTTAATCGGGATTTCGCTTCCTATTCATCATCAACTCTTTCATTTCGTGCTGACATTCATCACAACAATCAGTTAATCATCGATATTTTCTATCAAACGCCTTCGTTTATTATGGAAAACTTGATCAAAGGAACAATGTTTTTATTCAAACTAATCATTGACTTTATTCCATCACAATTAATCAACAATCATCATCACAAGATAACAATTAACTCTTGGTTTCGTATCCATTCAACTTTGTGTCCACAAACAACAAGAAGATTGACCAACTCAAGAAGTCCATCTAATGACAATAATCGTGACACAATCGCCCGGAAACAGAACAAATTACCTGATCTGATTCCAATCAGTGACAATCAAAGGAAAAATCGATCAACAATTAAATCATCGACTTCATCCATGGTGATCGAAGTCGCGACGAATCTTAAAAACTTGAGCGATAAATTTGATTCCTTTCATCGCAGAAAACTGAGAAGATAAATCATCAACTACTCGTAACCAAATCATCATCGATTCATCAATAATCAATCAACAATTTCTATTCACAATCTAATCAACTTTCTGTATCAATCCAAAGACCAAATTAACCAAACAACAATTTCTATCTAGTCAATTGTTTATATTTTATCACTTTTCTTATTGTAAAATAAACTTTCAACTCCAAAACCAAAACAACCTTAACACTAATAATTTATTATCTTTTTGATAACTTTTAGTTTTTATATTAATAATTTTAAACTGTTATCTATTCTCAGCGCCATCTATCAATATTATCTAATAACATTCTCGATATTAGAAACTTTTAAACTCCTATAAATGTCATCATATTATCAGAATAACATTTACTAGTCTATAGGATTAACGGTCAAGATCAATAGTCGAGGTAAAGGAGGGAAAAGGATAAAGATAAAGATAAAGATAAAGATAAAGGAACATGAGATTAGTCATTAAATTTATGATTCGAGATTCTTTTCTTTGAATAATCGGAAGAAACTCTTTTTTAGTAATTGACTGAATCAACTTTAATTCAGTTCTCAATTTTGATTAAATAACGAGAATTAAATAATATTATGATTAATTGGCTTTCGTTTCATTTGTTTGTTTGTCTATTTGCTGAACATTAGATTAATTATCTTGATTGAATATCAGACTCGCTGAATCAGATAAAAGCTTTTTTTATGTTTCTTTTCAACAATTAATTGAATTGATTCATGTTGAGATTTAATTATCTGCTATTTACTATGTTACATGTAATTAACTAATATACAATAAGTGAATCTCTGATTGTTATCATTGTCATAATCATCTGATTCTGTAACTGGATCAACAAATTATCAGAAAACAGTAAGAGACAAATGATACAATTGATTAACATTGAATTGGAGTTTTTAGCTGACTAATTGTATCTGATGAACATTTTGAGCAACTTGAGATATTGACAATTAACTGCAATCAGCTGATGATAAGGGACCCAAGGATTAATTGATTATCCACTTAAATTGTTGATATGGTTGAAAATGAGTAAAAAAGCGTGAGATTTTATTTAAATTGTTATCTAATTAAATCTGATTGTAAGTAAAGAGGTTAAATGTTAATCAGTCTCTATGGGAAATGATTGAGTTAAAAAAACTGATTGGAAATATTGATTAACTTGATTGTTATTCAATTGTCAATTGGATCAACGGTAAGTTACTTGATTACAATTAACTCTATTAACTGTATCCAATTGGTTAACTTATTTCCATGCCTAAGGGACACTTTGATCAACAATTTAAAGCCAATTTTTAAATCATTTCAATTTATCTGATGAGAAAAGGTCACAATCAAAACTTGTCTTTTATCATAATTTGTAGGCGATTAGAAAATATTGATAGTAAAAATGGAAAGAGTTTAATTGGTCGAGTTAATTTAATCACGAAACTTGAGCAACAAGGAGAATCGACAATTTTGTTCAAGATCATCTTTGTGTCACCAACAGTTGACTCAGAACACGATGTGTACCATTTTCCGTTTCTCGTGATTTTTGGCAAAGTAAAGTGAATGTCCAATGTTCATTCAGTTGTCGGTATTCAACTACTCGAATCTAAAGTTCTGAATCGGTACAAATATTAATTGTGGAATTATGTTCCAACTCTTTTCATTCCAGTTGAGTCCAAACGTAAATTGAGTGAGTTATTAATACAATTTGTGATTAGAAAAGATGATCAATGAAAATGATCATCGACAATTAGATGATGAACATGACTGAGACTAGAAGCAGTTCGATTGTAACTGTTCATTGACTCGCGACATCAAATGAAAGTCAATTAATCAAAATGTTCAACGGCAATGGAAACAAATTTACTTTTAAAAGTTTAAAATGTTTGAAAAGTTTTTTTTTCAAATAAAACGGAAGTTAAAGTTTTCACTTGATTGTTGGTTCTTGTGAGAACCGGAATTATCAGATTAATCATAATCACCAATGTAATCAAATCTATTGATTGTATAATCTACAACAAAGTGTTAATGTGTTTGCATCATTATCTTAATCTAATATCATTAGGATGCGATTTACTTGAGGATAAAATATCTTAACGCTGAATAACAACTAAAAGCTTCAGAAGATGAAAACAAAAAAAAAGATTCACTAAATGGTCAATCTGACCAAAAAAGAAGTAAAAAAGAAAAATGATCTTTGACTGACCACAATGGTCAGTATACAATATTTTAGATAATCATCATCATCATCATCATCATCACCTAACCAAATGTAATTATGATTAACAGTTAGCAAAGTAAGTTGATTATTTTTACTCTTGTTGGGTCATTAAGATAACATTTGTAATGAGATAAAAATAGTTACTTTTCATGTTGATTCATAACTTTTTTTTGTTATCTGACCGATACAATTAACATGATAAACATAATGGACCAAGAGATCAAATTTTATGGTCAAATAGAGGGCAAAGTGGGTGAGATCAAACAAAAGGTCCACTCACTTTTTTACGCACTCACCTTAAAAATTCACCCACTCAATGATGATAATAATAATAATCATCATCATAATGACCCCCGGATAATGATCAATGTATTTAATATCAATGTTAAAATAAGAAAAAGTATAAGGAGCAAGAGAGAGAGAGAGAGAGAGAGAGAGATAAACATAACGGTAAAAAGGTTGGTAGATGAAGTAAAAGCAAATGTCAATTAATTGCATCTTCCAAATATTAATGACCACTACTGACCAATGAGTATTTGGAAAACATTTAACTTACATCCCTGCGTCATTATCATTATCATCATCATAGTAATAATCATTATCATCTTTTATCGTCATTTTTTTTTTATTATGGTCATTTTATGGATTTAGTTACTTTGGTGTTTTATTGTTCATTGAATAATACTGACCCCTTATGTATATTTAATTGGATTATGATGACAAATGATTCCCCTGGTCAAGAATTAATTTCCCTTATTCCTGTTATGTTACATCAAGACGACCCAAAAGTAGCAGATTCATTCCTACGCCTTTCATTTACGCTTTTTAACATATCATCTTCATCCTTAATCATCTTGACCATTAAACAAATTTTTCACCATTGTCCACTCTATCTCTCTTATAGGATTATCCTCTTGACCATTCAATCAAATCAAGATGAATGAATTGGTAAATAGACATCAAGTAAGATTGTTTTTTTCCCTCTTCATGATAAATCCTATTTACCGGATAAACACACAAACGTATTTATGGTCAATCTGATGATGACCAAAATGAGAATAAGATAAATCATAATCATCTGGATAATATTAATAAATCCTCTGGTATAATAATAATAAAAAAAATATTAAGATAACAAAACAAACATTAGTATTAAAATGTTTTATTAAAATCCAATGATGTCCGTTTCCTTTACTAATGGTCAGTTACTATTAATACACAAAGATGATGATAATCAAACAATAAAATATCACAATGGCCACAACAATGAGATGAAAAATTAATCATTAACAGTAACCTTTTTTTTTATACTTACCATAAAAAACTCATCTAATATACTGGTCAATGGTCAGTCTATGTAATAATAATATCGCTAGCATGGTGGTCAATATTTAGGCAGAAAAAAACAATCTGAATGACCATTGAAATAAAAAAACATAGATACAACTTTACTCATGAGGATAATAAATGAACACAATTAATGTCAAAAGTTAAGATGATTAATATTAATTGTGAAAATATTATCATCAATTAATCATTTCTTAATCAGCTGTTTGATCAGCAAGTTGTAATTAATGAAAGTTTGGTGGTGTTGATTAACCAATAAATGTATATTACGATTGGTGCAAAAAAAAAGGGTTAACAATTAAACAATTGTAATCAAGGTTGACACTTTTTTTTGTTGTTGGTTAAATTTGATTGTGATGGTGTTCATTGTTTTTCAATCACAACAATCAAACAATTGACGAAATTCAATACATTTCAGTTTCTCGTAGTCATGATTACGAAAATTAAAATGTAAATGTCAATGACAATTCATTTGATTAGCTAAAACAATCAAACAATCAGTTAATTGTTGCCCACTTGAACCATAACTTAATTTAACCATAAGCACCAATAACAAACTTACCTTGACTCAGCACAGAAGTTTGAATTATTAAGTGTGTAAACATTGTTGATTAACAATCAAGGTAATCAAGGTAGCAACAACAATCAATGAAATATATAAAAAAAAACTATGAAATCAACACAGATTGAAAGTAATCACAATTAACTGTCATTAACTTATTTTAGTGTATTGATTACAGTTAACAGATTTGATTCAATGAATCGGTAAATGATCAAGTCAGCAAACCTGAAGTTTACATATGAAATTAAAACAGAGAGAAAGAGAGAGAGAGTTTAATTGTTACGAGTAAAGAGGAAATCAATCAGTTAATTGTGACAACCATACTAATCATCATCATCATCAATACCTGAAAACAAAAGGTAACAATTATCATCATTAACATTCAACATCAACAGCAAAAATTAAAAATATCAACGGAAGCTTTTTGTTTTTAACTCTTAACCAATTGTTAATCAGCAATCAGTTTTAATTGTAAACCAATAGGTTGATTTGATTTTTCAAATTGTCATGCAACCTGATAGCTATTATATGATTGCTGTGTTTCCAGAGTCACAGTGATTTAAATTGCTCCGGATTGAGAGTAGATTACAATCAACAATAAATGTTAATTGTTGAAGGGTTTTTTTAACTTCTTTTATTTTGGATTTTTTTTTTCTCGTGCTTTTTATATAACCTGGACAAGACATGAAGGCGATTATCAACTTTTTTTGTTTTATTTTTCTTATTACTTTGTGGTGTCCATTTGTTTACCTTGATTTACGAAGACCCTTTTACCCTTCACCTTCAATTTCAACGTTGACCCGTCGAAACACATCACAACAGTTGACCAACACAAATACCCGGACCTCGAGTCAAAAGACTGTGAATGATTTTTTCAAATCTTATCCAAGGTACGATGAAGTATCAAGATTTTTATCTTACCTGGTTTCGACTTATCCTAGTCTATCATCACTTGAGACCATCGGCCAATCATTTGAATCCCGGCCTCTTCAGATTATCCGAATAGGATCAACACCAATAGTATCACCAAACACCCGTAATCCTCCTGCTAAGCCAATCTTATGGATTGATGCTGGAATCCATGCTCGTGAATGGATCGCTCCGATTACTGCACTTTATATTGCCCATCGGCTGGTCAACGATTATCAAACTGATCCAGTAACAAAAAACTTAGTCGATACCTTTGATTGGAGGATATTACCAATCGCTAATCCTGATGGATACGAATACAGTCATACAACGGTAACAATTTAAATTCTCGAGTCTTAATCTCATTTGATTTTAATTTTTTGTTTTCTACAATAATCCAAAGGATCGGATGTGGAGAAAAACCCGATCTCGAAATTCATCGGTACCTTCGTGTGTGGGTGTTGATGCGAATCGTAATTTTAACTTTCACTGGATGGGTAAGATTATACAATTAGTTTAAAGCCACAAGATTAAGGATTTATCACTTTTATGCAAAGAGATACATTGGACCATAAGTCCAATAGGTTAATCCATTAATACGTGTTGATTGATTGTTTGCATGTCACTTTGTTTACCTTTTGTCCATCATCATTAGCTAATCATTTACATTTTCAACATAATCTTTAACCAAATCATTGGTTGATTAACTTTATTCTGTTCGTTGATTGTTATTCTGTTAATGTTAAACAATCAAAGTCAACAATCAGTGACAAAAACATGATGAATTACCTTTAAAAGCTCATGATTATCTAATGGTCATTTTGTTGGTCAGTTTTTCCCTGTCAGCTTCATCTTTATCTCAAATCCTCAGGCTTACGTATAAATAGCTTATTAATCTGATATTAGCAGTATAAGTAAACCATCAATAGATTTAATCAAGGGATTAAGGATTGATTCTCATTAAACTTGACTCATAAGATTGACCAATAGGAAAAAACTTTACCTTAAGGTTATTGATACTTTTGTTGTAAACATGAAAAACTAATGCCCTTTGGGTTTTTTGAATCATCACCAGAATCAGGTTCAAGTTCAAACCCATGTGCTGAAATCTATGCTGGATCAAAACCTTTTTCAGAACCGGAAAGCAAAGCAATCGCCGCTTACCTGATGAAATATCAGCAAAGAGTTAAATTATATCTAACCTTTCACTCTTATGGTCAACAATGGTTATACCCTTGGGGCTATGCTGCTGATAAAACTGATCGTGATAATGACTTAGAAAAGAAAGCGTTGGTCGCAGTACAGTCCATTAGTTCAAAATACGGAACCAAATACGAACTCGGACCATCAGGAATTAAACTATGTAAGCATCATACCAACTGACCACTCAATAGAAAAACATATAACTGCCCTTCCCCCAAGCTGGACAATTGTTATATCATTGTAAATCTTAATTTCTTTATGGAAAAGTGATAATCCACTCATTAGTCTAATGTTATTCATCCTCGAGCTATCATCTAATATGCTAGAATTAATCTTGTTTCATTTCCTTGGTTCTTAATCTTCCGTTTCCTCATTCAACTTTTATCACAACAATTGATGATGATGATGATGATGATTAGCATTGTCAGGATGATAATCACAGCATTTTCATTGGTATTTTTGCTTTGTTTTCATCTTAATACAATTATTTCCATCATCATTTGCCTTGTATCATAATCTCATTGGTTTAACTCAATTAAGTTTAATTGTCCGTCAAATTAGTTTGTTGGTAAAGGATCATTAGCAAAGGTAGATTATCCATTTAATCATCATTGCCTAATAACTAAATTATTACCCAACATAAGATTAACAATTTAACCTTTTATTTTGCAATTTTTTTCACAATAAGTTGATTATTGCAATTTGATTGTTAATAAGTTTTTCATTCGTTGATCTTTTAGACTTGTTAATTGTTGTTAATTCAACCTTTTCTGTAGCATTGAATTTCATCAGATTTTTTCTTCCCTCTGCCAGCAATTGGTCATCATCAAGTTGTAATATGATGATTACAGTTACTTGACCCATTCCATTAATATATAGCAAATTTTATTTTCTATTGTCCATTTGTAATCTTGTTGGACATTCCGATGTCAATGAAACTCGTTTCTAGGATGTTTTTTATCCAATGGTCAGTTGATTACATTGAAGTGATTTTTTCATTCTGTTTTTTTTTTCATTTACTTGTCAATCTTAATTGCAGTTGATTGTTCACATTAGATAAAATTTGATAAAAAAAACCCAATCAAATCAACTTTTAATTAGAAAGATGGACGATCGAGATGATAATCAATGAAGATGTGTGATAAATCAATGTGATGAAATTTGATAACATTAACTGTCAATTATTTGCTAAATTATATTGGAAATTGACCTCATTCCAATGAAATACAACATGACCTTTTATGATATTATTTAGTACAATCAATCAATTGATTATTGGTTAATTTGTTTTGTTTAATTAAACAGATCCAGCAGCCGGAGGATCAGATGATTGGGCTCTTGGTGTGGCTAAGATACCTTATTCATATACAGTTGAATTAAGACCAAATTTTGAAGATCCACTTGGATTTATCCTTCCAGTTGAACAGATTAAACCAACGGGCGATGAAACATGGACCGGGGTCAAGCAATTAGCCGTTGAGATTGCCAAAGATTTACCTAAACCTAAACGAGCCTCAGGTCGATCTCCTTCACCAAGATTACGATCACGAGGTTGAAAATGGATAATCATGATTCTAATTCATTCATTTATATTTTTCGCAATGGATTAGTTATCATAAAGGATAATCCGTTTCAAGAAATACATTCACATATTATTTTTAGATTTATTTTGAACAAATAATAACAAAACTAATTGTTGACAATTACTTAATCGTGAGAAAAGAAACAATTTTATCATTAAAACATTTTTAAATGTTTTCCAAACCTCGTTTCAATATCTTTCTTACAATTGTCATGATTATCTAGTAGTTTATTGAATGAGAGAGAGAAAACTATTAACAATCAATTGTCTACTTGTTACAATTTATATGATGATATTTACATTCGGTCAATTGTTACAATGAAAATCTTTTAATTTGCTTAATCAACTTTAGCTCTTGAGATGAACAAGCGTCTTATCGGGTCATTGATGTTTCATATCGACTTAACCTTACGCTTAACCCATAAAAAAAGACATTGGACTTTTGATCGTAAAGAGAAAAAAAAAGTTTCAATTAATATTAATTGTGATTAAGGTACTAAAAAAAAGGAAACACAGTTAATTAATTTTCAATGATCATGAAAATTACGATGATTAACATGATACAATATTTAGATAACTGTAAATGTTAATTTCCCCAAACAACTAAGGAAATGATTTGAATCAGTTTATTAATTTCTTTTCTTCATTTGTTGAGATCAGCCAATTCTGGTGATAACAATTAACTCTATTTTTTAGATATTTGCTCAATGTGTTACTAACATTTATTGTAAGTTAATTGTGGTCAGTAGCAATTAAATAAACAAATTTATGTATCCAAGAAGCCTAAGTTATTAGTTTTGATGAATTGATTCCCTGTGAGGCCAAGATTTCATTTCATATACTATTAGATTAACACAATGGCCTTTCATAAGTAAATAGTTGATCAGGAAATTGACAAATTAGTTAATACATGTAATTAATTGCATATCACTAGTTTACTTAACGTTCATAATGGTAAACATTTAATAACTTGCGTATTAACATATTCAGATTACAATTAGCGTTAATTTATCAAATATTGGAATATATTCCAATTCACTTGGACACGATAAATTGATCCAAAACGAAAAAGTTTTAAAAAGTAGATTTTCGATTATATTTTAGAAATTCAGTCAATAGAAAATATATTCAAATGTTATTAATATATCGAAGTCTAGAATATATCAAATCATAAAGTAAATCTTTTATAATAGACATAATTCGAACTCATAAAATTGAAGATTGAGAATTGATTAGCTTAATCCAAAGTGTCAATCTAATCTTGGATTTTTCTGCATATTATTAACTCAATGAAAGGTAATTGACTTTCTCATGTCTATCAAAAAGCATAGAGTTTTTTACTAATCAATTCTACCATCCATCCTTCCATTCACAGGCCAATTCAATTGATCTTCTTTTCGTTCATGGTATCATGTTGTTGATTCCAATTTCACCTCCCTCTCTCTCTCTCTCTCTCTCTCTCTTGGATACGCCTTTCAATATTATGACAGAGATTTGATATTTTTTATCTTGTCCTATTGTGTATTCGCTGTGTCTGTGTGTCCACTAATCAAGTGTCCGCTTGGTAAAATATTCATTTCTCATCCTTCCTGTTTCATCACCATACACACACTCAGACACAAGTTAATACAAGACGAGAGAGAGAGAGAGATAAACCAAATTGTGACAATATAATAATTGTAACTATTTCGCTTGATTGTGAATATACATTTACGTTATTTCTGTTTTGTTTTCTTTGACATGATCACTAAATGTACACGCGACTTGTCACCAAAATGTTGAATACTACCAAAAGAAATATTATTACATATGTACAATACAGTCAGGCCTTGTAAGAAGAAACAGTTTCCACTTTTGATGAAACAGGTAATTTTTTCTTCTCCCCTCTCACTTAATCCAATTTTTTATAACTCACCCGCTAAAGCGAAATATTCTCGTTCAAGTCAAGCGTTTTCATCAAGGTAGATTAAAGATGATGGGAATATAAAAAAAGTGAGATGAAACTCCTCATGTCTTTTTTATTTGTCTTTTTTCATGTCCTTTTTTATCGGTCAGATTTTCGTTTTCCAATTTATGTAAAAGTTGTTCTTGAGTTTAGAGTAGTTCGACGGCTTCACTTCTCGATTCTCAATGGTGTTTAGAGCACTGGATATGGAATCAAGTCAGAAAAGTGACTAAACTTTTCCTTATGTTTATATCGATGGATCATTTTGATTGTTACGATCATTTGATGTAGAATCATAAGCTAAAGTAACTCAGAGTCGAGTAACAAGGAGAACGAAAAGTTCCAGAAGAGTAAATTTCATGATGATGAAAACAATTGATTTGTTGCTTTGAGAAGCAAAGAAGTGAAGTTTCTCCTTTTTATATTACTCGATGAGTTTTTGGAATCGACAATTGAATAAACATTCATCACTCGTTCATTGACACATTACAATTTAACCTTTTCCGTTCTTCCTTCCTTTTAAATCAGCTGATTAGAATCAACTAACTTGCACTAGACAAGCAAATTGTGATTTGAATCAGCGATTGATATAAAAAGGAGAAATTTGATAAAGCCAATTGGCTGATAAATTATAAAAAATTAAATTACTATTTATGTCCTTTTGACCCTGAGAAAAAAACTCTTTATCTCATTAGTAAAAAAAAGGGTCAATCAAAGGTCAATGATAAGTTAATCGCTTTTGCAATACAATTCGGATCTACAACTAACATCATGTAAACTCATTGATAACACTTATCATTGGTGCTACTTTAATACTTCGGATCCTCCTCTCTCATCATCATCATCACCAACTACATCGCAAGTGACATTATACTTTGTTAATGATGTTATCGTAAGTCTGATAAATTGTTTCATCCGATTGTTTATAAATTGTAACAATCATTTCACTCGGAAGGGTTTCTATCAATATAAACAACATCATCTTCAATCCTTATCATTGAAAAGTATCAATGTTTTATCCCAACCACCCACCTCTCACTCACTCACTCACTCACTCTCTCTCACTCTCACTTACTCTTTCCTTTCTTTCCTTCTCTCTTTCCTTCTCTCTTTCATTTTTTATCTATTTCCGGTCTTTACTCTACTCTAACCGTTACCCTTCATTTAAATAGCCTAAAGCTAATGGTTATCATCATCTTATACTCACGATCATAATAATAGATCGTCTTTCGTTCATCATCATTCTCATCATCATCATTATAATGATCCCTCTCAAATTATTCACTTATCCGTTTCCGTGAACAAAAGATCAACTTATTCCCATAGTTAAACCACGAGTATCACTAGATTATCAACATAATCATGATAATTACAATCATCCTCATCCTCGTCCTCATCCTCATCTTCATTTTCATCATCCTTATAATCATAATGATCATCAACCTTTTTTTACAAAAATTATGATAAATATTTTGTCATTTGCCCAACAAGTAGACACGTTTTTTTACTTGAATTTAAATCAGAATCAGAATAAAAGTCCTCAGGCTTTTGATTAACATTACTTGATAATTTGTGATCATTTAAATCAAGTTTAAACTTAGAGTATAAAAATGATCAATCAATTTGTATTGTAAAGAGAAACAGTTTATTGTTACTCTGTGAGAATCAACAATCAACATCAATTGTTGTACATATCATTAGCATCAACAATCAAAAGTTAATCATTGTTAGCAATACAAAGATGTACATGTACTTGTAAATGATATCCATTGAAAAAGTTCAAATGTTACACGATTAAAGAGTTATTAATTGTAATTGTCGTAGTTATAGTTAATCGCAATTGACAATAACGATCAAAAATTCAATTTTCCCAGGGATTTGACAAAACCAACTCTCACCAAATTGATTCAATTGTTTCTCATTTTAACAATCAATTAAATTAAAATTTGTGTACTGTAAATACCAAACCCTCTGGTAACACTAATCCAATCGGATTAAAGGTTATAAAGTTTACCCGCTAATCCTTTTACTTTTTTTATGAGTTAATTGTTTCATCTTAATAGTTGATGATAAATATTTCTTGATTATAATCACTCCTCAATATCTTGGTTTTGTTGATTGGTAATTTAAATTTACTTGTAAATATTTAAATTGTAATTTAAACCGTTAACCAGTTTGATTTTGATACTTGATTAGCATTATCATTATATTAACCCATTTGATTGTGATTAAATGTTACATGTTACCTCGTATAAATCATGATTAACTTGATCATCGATGGTTATTACTTAAATTGTTATCGTAATCTAAAGCTAAATTGCTTGATAACTTGTTATTACAGTTGATCAAACAAATTATATTTCATTTTAAGACAATTTAAATTGTTTAAAATTTTAAAAAACGTTGAGAATAAAATTTGGCCTTAAATTACTAAAACGTGACTTCTCATTGCAATTAACTAATCCTTTTCCACTCTCAGTATAACAATTTATAAATCAACCACACTTTTGATTAAATAAATTATCCTTAGGCTTTAAATTAATATCCTTTGGATTCACCACCATGAGCACAAATTGCTTGATGATTTGCTTGATTGTCACTTGATAAGAGAGTGAATTATTTGATAACTTTATGAAAATTTGATTGTTAACTTTCAATTTACTATTAATGCAATTGACAAAAAAATTTATGCATACAAAGTGTATTGTAAATCATCAGGTCACTCGTCCTGTTAATCCGTTAAGGTCATGGTTTAAAATATGATTATGATTATCCTTTTAAAACTTTATCCCTTCATAAAGTTATAATATTAACTCATTAAACTCTCCCAGAGAGACAGAGTTAAATGGCTAATCAACATCAATTCACCACCACCACCAACAATAACAATAACAATTTATAATCAAATTTAAATTTACTTTAAATTGTCAAATAATCAAACATTTCAAATAAAAACCAATGAAAAAAAAGTGTCCATGGGAAATGTTATCAACTATTTAACAAGGAAAACTTTTTCACAGTTTGATATCAAATTGATAACAATAATAAAGATTACGATGATTATGATTATGATTATGATTATGGTTACGATGATTATGACAATATTATCATTGTGATGATTAAGACGATGAGGATAAAAATAAAGATAAAGATGAGTATAAGGATGAAGATGAGGCTGAGGAAGATGAGACCAGGACGATGATGATGATGTTGGTTTGTAACTGTGGCAATAACAAT